AGGCAGAGGCACACAGATCTCTGTGAGCTCAAGGTGTGGTGGCACACACCTTTAATACTAGCACTTGGGAGGAAGAGGCAGGGAGATTCCTGTGTGTTCAAGGACAGCATGATCTACACAGAAGTTTTAGGACAGCCAAAGATACGCAGAGAAACCATGTGTCAAGAAAACACAAATTAAAAACAAAAATAAAAAATAGAGGTTAAAATAAAGCCATACAAAGATGAAAAGTAAACAGAGACTCTGGATACTGTATGTTATTATGTTCTTGTTGAATTGTTTGAATATTGAGAAAGGAACAACAGCTACTAAAAGATATTTGTTTATATATGCTGCTGAATCAATCCAAAATAGGTATTTTGAAAATACTGTGACTTCTAAATTGAAGTCAAAAGGTATGTTACTTTGGAGAAGAGGTTTTGCTTTTATTTTCACAGGAAATAAAAAGCTGTTTATTCATTCTGAGTTAAGAAAAATCAGGTTTGATCAAGGAGATTCCCTGAGAAATCTCTGGTAGGAGCAGATGACCCAGATGTCTGAGTTGTATATCCAGATCAGATTCAAGACTGCTGCCTGAGATGATCAAGCCTCACAGGATACTCCAGACATGACATGATCCTAATTATAAATTTTCATTAGGTTCCCATAAGATTATCTGTGCCCCCAACCAACAGGAAGTATCCTGGAAAACTACACCCACATTCCCAAAAGAATGGACCATGGATATTTTACATGCTTAGAATGTTGGTTACAAGTTTTTATGAATAATGATCAGGAGAAATGCTAAACAAAGGATATTAGATTTGGTGTTCTTTTGAAAGACTTTGGGGTGCCTTAGCACTACTACATCCCCCTCCTTGTGAACCAAGACCCAGGTAATTAACCACGTGTGTATTGGGGCTTTGCGTACTTTCCATTGTAATCTTTCTTCTATAGACACAGACCCTGGAACTGGAGTGAGACGACCCACAGATGTTCCTAATCACCATAGCATTGATTAATTAGAGTTAGCCAACCGTTAAATGAAATAGTCAAAATGGTCGACAAATGATTTCTGGACTTTCCCTTTGATTCTGTGTTCTGTACCACCCTGTACCCTGTACCACCCCCTCCCTTACTCTGTGATTTTTCCTTTAAAAGAACCTGTAGTAGACAAAGCTGGGGTCCTTCTCTTCTTGAGGCTGAGGGACCTCTGCCGTGGCAGAATAAAAATTCCTCTTGCTATTGCATCAATCGTGCTGAGAGTGTCTCTTGGGGCGACCTCATCCTTGGTGGGGCTTTATGGCCCAACACTTTTTTTTTAAAAAAAAAAAAGGTGGGGAGTGCTGTGGTACAATGTTCTGTACCCTGTGACTTAAATTTAAATAAATGCTAATTGACCAGTAGCCAGACATTAAATATAGTTGGGGTGACCAGGCAGGAAGTAGACATGGAGCAATGAGAATTTTGGAAAGAGGGAAGTCCAGTCTGGAGTCATGACCCAGCCTCAGGAGAAGCAAGACATGACTGCCTTGCAGAAAAACTACCAAGCCACATGGCTAATTCAGACAAGACTCATGGGCTAATGTAAGTTATAAGAATTAGTTAATAAGAAGCCTGAGAAAATGGGCCAATCAGTTTATAATTAATGCATACCTCTGTGTGTTTCATTGGGACTGAATGACTTCAGGACCAGGTGGGACAGAAACCTCTGAGAATAGAATGGCGCTTGGTGTACACACGTGTGCACAGAAATAATATATATATATATATATATATATACATATATATATATATATGGTGAAATAGATATATATGGTGAAATTTGGACAAGCATATGTACATGCATGCTATCCTCAAACAAATAAAATTTAAAATATTAAACAAATGAATCTAAAACTGGGTTAAAAGGAAAGGAAACAAAAATGTACGTTGAAGACCCTAAAAAAAAAATTCATGAATATATGGGTGTGTGTGCATGTGTGTCTTGTATAATTAAGTTCAGAAAGAAAGAAGGGAGTTTGGGGTTATTTTGTTTTTGCTTTAAAAAATGAAGGTTGCTGAAGAAGAGAGTGTGAGGGTAGCAACCCTAGATAGATATGGAGGCAACATAGTCGTGTCATACACCTTTGTTTCCAGCACTACTGGGACAGAGCCAGGGGGATATCTGTGAGTTCAAGGCCACTGAGATCTTTGCAAACTGAATAAGTCTACAATAGAAATAGCCAAGGGGTAGTGAGTCACACCTTTAATCCCAGCTCTAAGGGAGTTGGAGATGAGAAATAATATGACTGGGCTGAGAGAGGAATGTAGGGTAGAGGGAGACAGGAGCACAGCCTCAGTCTGAGGTTTCCTAGATACAGCATTCAGTCTGAGGATTCCTGAAAACAGGATCTTGACCACTTTAGCCTGATGATTTGATAGAAGTAAAAGGTCTCTCTGGTGACTGGCTGTTTTAGTTCCCCCGAAGAGAGTCTTCCCTCTGGAGAGACCCTTCCCAAGGATCAGCGAGAACACCGTTGCGGATGCAAACAGCAAGAGGTTTATTTCAGATACACAGGCACCTGGGGCGGCAGAGTCTCTTGGAAGACTTGCGCGCCCTCAGGCTGTGGTAAGGGGTTTTTATAAGGGCAGAGAGCAAAAAGCGCGGTTACAGAAGCACATGCCATGGTTACAGGGATTTCATTGGACAGCTTAATTTAGCCAGGTTAAATTGGAGACAAATTCCCCCTTGGTACATGGACCCCAGTTAGGGCTGAGTTGGCCCTTTCATAACTGGCACTTCCCGTTCTTGCCTTGCCTCAACGGCTGACCACAGACATCCTGTTTTGCTACCGACAGTCCGTCATTCTGTTTTGCAATATATAACTGTCCTCTGTCTGAATTCCCCAAAAGTACAAGCCTTGCATAAATGGCGTTATTTTTAGCTATGGCTGAAGCGGCAGCAATTTGAGCAATTTGGGCTGGGGTCTTTCACCTGATATTTCACCATTCACTCCAATATCTGGCTCTGAGTTTTTATTAAAAGGACCGAAGAGTTTAGCTACAAAATATACCAAATAGGAGAATAAAAGAAATGTTTGTGGGGGGTCAAGCACATGTGGGTAGATGTTTTTAAATGAGTCAATAAAGAAAGGAGGATAATAGAAAAAGTCAAGGAATCATAGATAAGCCACCTCATTTGGGAGAGATTACAGGCATTGTGGAATTCACCCTTAGATGCAATCCCTTGAGTAGACTGGATTACACATCACATTGATCCAGCAATCAAATCCCGAAATGAAAACCAGAGGTATGGGTACTACGTTATAAAAAATTAGAGAATCACAGAAAGCAAGTGAAAGGGAGTGAGTTAAAATTGAGAGGAAAGTTATCAGAGGATAACCTTGGAAAGAAGGAAACAACGGCCCAAAGAGGAAAACCCAAATGAAACTTTGTGGTGTGGCTATTTGTAGATGCACCTGTGGGAACCACAATGTAGAGCTGATTTGTGGAAAGAGAAGAGAGGGAGAGAGAGGGAAGAGATGGGCACAAGGCAATGGAGCTATTCCCTCCAAGCCCACCAAGGAAAAGCTCTTGACTTAATGAGACTCAGATCAGAAGCCTTGCCCCATGAACCATTACTTGTTTACGCTGTGTGAGTAGGTGCAATATGTGTCATGCCCAGTAGGCTTAACTTTACCACTGGTGAGCTCTCTATTCCCTGAGGAGACAGAAGGACTTACAGGGTCTCCCAGGTGGAAGGGATCACCCATAAGGGAGACCATGGTCTTGTACCTGTTGAGTCAGGGGCTTGGCATTTGAAGGAGGCAGAGGAAGGCATGAAAGCTAGGGAGTGGGCGTGACTATCAGACCTGTAAGTCAGAAAGGGCGGGCCCAGCTGAAGCAGTCTAGGCAGCTGATTGGATAGTGGTGAGGAGGTGTGGCACAGCTACTACTTTAAAAAGGGCACGCAGAGCAGCAGGGAGGCAAAAGGAAAGCCAGCTGACATGCAGGCCAGCACAGGTGCACTGCTCTCTTGCCCAGAGAGGCCAGCCATGTCCCTGGGCAGAGGGCTACTCCAGTCAAACCTGCTGCTCTCCAGATGCCCCATGGTGTCCTCAGGAGTGGAGATGGAATTTGCCCAGCACCTGG